CCCCAAAACCCCAAAACCCCGTGAGGTCTTAGCTCTCATAACAATAGAAATTTTGAATTCTTTGCAATATAAATTATACTAGCCAATAAATCATCAAAGTATACTTTTAATCGTTATAAAATCTCAATTACTCTCTCTTTATTAGTTGAAGGCTGCTGTGGTTTTTCTAGCTTATATTCTAGTCTTTCTGACTCTAGAGGCGCCCTCTCTCGTAGGAACACGGTCGCCTATCTAATAATGATTATTACAGTTCTTCATTTGGAACTCCTAAACCTAAATATTGTCTAAAATATCTGAGACTTGGGTTCCTTCATTTAATCGAGGGTTTTATGAACGGTGCTGTTATGGTTATTTCTACGAATTATTGAAATCGTAAAACAGCAAATTAAGCTATTCTTTGACTTCTGGCTAAAGATGCTTGATCACCCGAGTGTCTCGCTGAACCTCAAAATTAATGTCTTTAACTTTACCGAATCCCTTTGAGGTTTGATAGTATTAAGTATTAATATTGTCAAAGAAAGTGTCCTTATTCTACTGTTCCTATAAGTTATTCACGAGAATTTGAGATTCTTGAGACTTGCGACTCTGTACACTGGATCTTCTAATTTTTGATCTACCGATAGGATTTACCTATTTGGCTGTTGCATCTTGAAGCTTCTATCTATTACTCATTTAAGACTAGTTAGCTCTTGATTATTATACAGGTTATATTATTTATTGGGCAAGATTAGTTTTGAAGAAATTCTACATTGTTTAGAACTAAACATTCCCCAGACTATTAACCTTCTCTAAAACAGGCACCGGCGCAACTTTTTCTAAAGCTTCTTCGATAACTAAATCATCGGGCGATTAATTAGAAAGTAAATTAAGAGGCTATAAAAGTTATTTTTCTCCTCTGGTCTAACTTGCAATCCGCTACTCAAAGAATGTTGAGTTTGTAGCCGTGCTCTATGAACTCTGTGATTAATAGGCTTGTTGTTTATTTACGTTACTAGAATAAAGGTCTTTCATTGTTTATTTTTTTGGCTTTGAATTTGTAAAATGTCCAAAGTATGTGACATGATTACTCTAGTGGCCTTAGTATAGCTAGTTTAGTTGCATGGATTACTGTTAGAGATTATGTTATTATTCTACCTTTGAAATGAACTTTGAGGGGATGTCATCATTTTATGAATGAATGATATTTAGTTGATTCGGATCGTTCTGATTATTATACTTAGGAAATTTCAATGTATTTTATCTCGGGAGGTTAGACTCAGGATTTACTCTTTGTATAATGTTGTTCATCTGTATTTATTTCTATATCCAATCTCTCTGTGATATTCCAAATTGATTTTTAGGGGAGTTATCTTATTGCTGCTACTGCTGGTATGACTAATTCATGATTTTACTCATTTAGTCGGATTAATTTAGATTCACCTTGAAATCCATTTCATTTAGCTCATACTCTTATTTCTTTTTCCTATTGTTTTCGAGGTTGCTACTCTTGTTCTAACTGTTGCTATTACTCTACTTATAGAAGTTTTGATGAGTTTGATGATGAATTTAAAATCTCTATTATTATGGCTATGAGTTTTCATCATCAAAGTCTACTACCTTAATGTTTTAGCCATTTGCGGGCATTAATGATGGTCTCTGTGGGCTCAAAAGTTTTCTTTTACTGTTGTTGTATCTATAAGTTTATTTTTATTTCTCTACATGAGCATTCTATTGGTCATCCGTGTTCTAATTTTCTGGGAGTCCGTAATTAGAGATATTGGCAGGTCTCTTTTGTATGAGATATTTTATCTGTTTTTTATTTTAATCCAATTTATTAATTGGAGATTTTTCAATATCTTTGAGACTGATTTGCTAATTGATTGATTACTTTCTAGAACTAAAATTGATAGGAGAATGTTAAATGCCATTAGGGTGGAACTATTGCGGGCTGCTTACTCTATTGGAATATGTGCTGACCTATTAATAATTAATCATTTTCTAAAACTTTATACTTATATTACTTTTTCAGTAATTCAAATAATAATATCTCAATTCAACATTCCATCACCCATCTTTTCTCACGGGGTTTTGGGGTTTTGGGGTTTTGGGG